TTCTCACAGAACCAATTCCTCATTATCTAAGGGATCATTAGGGCAATGTTTCTAGGGTTTGTCTCCTGTGATATCCATATTAGAATCACTTGGGGACCCAGCCCATATCTTATAGGTCAGAGCCCTGAAATATCTATTTTAATAAGATCCCCAGAAATACATTATTTGAACTGAAGTTTAAGGACTATTGATTTAGGGGTTAACCAGTCCTCTCTATTATACAATTAAAGATTCAGGGCTGTCTTTAATAGAATTTAGATGCTAGTTTATTTACATATAAATTAACTAGGACTTAAACTTGTACTACTGGAAATTCTAGACCAACATTTCTCAATCTTTAGTGTATTTAAGTCACCCAGGGAGTTTACTAAATGGCAGGTACTCCCAAAGGGACTGGTTTGAAGCTAGGTTTTCTGTATTTTAAACACGTACCCCATGTGATCCTGATGTAGGCATTCTGCTAACCTCACATCCAATACAGAGCCCTTCTGGAAAACACTATTCCTGTCAAGTAGTCATGCAGCCTCTGAGAGGACACTGTCTATTGGGGATAAACAATAAACTTCATTTGTGTGTAGTTTTAATTGTCAGAAATTTCTTTTTAATTGAGTTAATATAGAGTCTCATATGATCTGTCTGTCTGGTTCTCTTAATTAGAACTGCATAGAAGACTTTAGTTCCCAATATTATTTTAAAGAAAATATACTTGACCAAGAAAATCACTGCTTTTGTTCCTTCTGGATCCTGGATTGCTTCCTTAGCAGAGGGTGGGTAGGTCAGGAAAATGTAGGGATACAAAAATGTATCCCTGATGAGAAGACAAGGGTCTCTGCTATTTTCATAGCAACAATGCTTAGAAAATCAAACATCTGGGAAAACTTGGAATTCTTCTTTCCTAGAATATCGCAACATGCATAAACAAAATAAAATAGAACCATATCATTCTGACTGCCCTGGATGTGGCAGAGTCGTGATTTTCAGAGTGACAATAAAGGAGAGGGTAATAAGGAATAAGGTGGGGCTGATTCAGATGAGTCAGGGGCCCTCATGTAAGAAACTAGTGGGAACCCTCCCTTCTCCCAGGTGCCCATTCATTCTTGCCCAGCTGCAGCTTCATACAGGTCAGGAAGCTGATTCTCATGCTCACAAGAGTGAACTGTCAGGTGCAGATACAGAGAGGGTGACTGATGGGAAAATACAGGCGTGTGTCCAGACATTTTGCTGTGTGTCCAGATATTTCACTGGGACTTCCTTAAATCCTCAGAGCTTAACTAAGTCATCCCATTCATTTGCTTGTTTAAAAAAAATAGTTTATTCACTTATTTTGAAAGAAATTATTAACTAAGTTTCAAAAGACAACATGGATGGATTTGGACATGAAAGGAGGGGTATCCAGAGTGGACATGGATCTGTCATTTAAGACAGTGTGACTAGGCTAGTTAAAAAAATTCTGTGTCCCAACTATTCATTTGCAAAATAGGGATAATAATAAGTAACTCGAGTAACTTTTAGCATTGTTTGACGAATATAGGAGGAAGCATAACATAGTCAGTACTTAAAAAAACAGAATGCCAGTCATTATTGTTAGCATCGGTAATGCTAGTGCTATTTTGCCAGAGGATATTCACGAACCAATACCAATTAGTTCTTTTTGAACAGCTCTTAAAACAATTACTTAGGTCAGGATGAGCAAAAGGGGGAATACACATGAACACGTGGAACCTAGAAAGTGGCCTTTGCCTCAATTTTCCCTTTAACTTAGGGAGAACCTGACTTTTGGAGGTGGGGGCTGTAGAAGGCATTGAGTCTCGAGTGACCTGCCTCATTTTTCTTAGAGTAGATGTCTTTTCTTTCTGATGCCCTAGCCAGTTTTAGGATGTAGGATTCACACAACATTAGAAGTCTTGGTTTGTTTAGATGTTTTAATTCTCAGATTGTTTATTCTTTGTGGAGAGAAATAAAAACAGGAGGACTGCAGAATGTGAACTCAATATGTCTTCTAGGAATGTCTGGGACAATTAGGCCCTCAGTATTCTTAAACAGTATTCTAAAACTTAAAAGCAAAGGCATTTAGATCATTGCCAAACTCAGCATCTGTATTTGCACGTTGGTGTGAGATGTAGGGAACATTATGGGTTCTAGACTGTGTCAGTGTCCCAGCTGTACAATCTCTGGGACTTTCCCCCCCTGCCAGATAGGAATAAGAAAACCTACTCTGCACAGCTTACAGCACTGTGGGGAGCTTTACAGAAAAAAGGTAAAGTGCTGACCCAGTGCAAGCTGGTATCACTCCCACAAGACATAGCTCAGAAGTCTTGGCTCTGTTTGAGAATTTTCACTGGTTTATGACCTCTCCTAAAAGAAAAGCATCGGGGAAGGTTACACCCAAGGTTTTCTTCCTTACTTTTAGCCCAAAGTGGCTCAGTGTAGATGTGATCTCATATTCTACAGACCAATTTTTGATTTTTGAACCACAAAGTATGCTTGGGGGAGGGACATTTCTACTGGCACAGTGGGAGCAGCCTTAAGACAGGCCATTGACGTGAGTCAGCAGAGACTAGGGGGAGCCCTCTCTACCACCATGTCAAAGCTCATATAGTTGGCACTCAGTCCATGTTTTTATTTCATTAATAAAATATGACCTCACTTTTCTTTTGTAGTCCAGAAGCGTGAGAATACATTTGTTGCAAACTGCATGCAGATAAAAGGGGATTCCTTTTGAAACTACATCCTCTTAATAATAAATAATTTTTGATCTACATAACAGTAGTGCATTTCTTGTTAGAATGGCAAGCGTTTGTATTTTTTTTNTAGCTCAGAAGTCTTGGCTCTGTTTGAGAATTTTCACTGGTTTATGACCTCTCCTAAAAGAAAAGCATCGGGGAAGGTTACACCCAAGGTTTTCTTCCTTACTTTTAGCCCAAAGTGGCTCAGTGTAGATGTGATCTCATATTCTACAGACCAATTTTTGATTTTTGAACCACAAAGTATGCTTGGGGGAGGGACATTTCTACTGGCACAGTGGGAGCAGCCTTAAGACAGGCCATTGACGTGAGTCAGCAGAGACTAGGGGGAGCCCTCTCTACCACCATGTCAAAGCTCATATAGTTGGCACTCAGTCCATGTTTTTATTTCATTAATAAAATATGACCTCACTTTTCTTTTGTAGTCCAGAAGCGTGAGAATACATTTGTTGCAAACTGCATGCAGATAAAAGGGGATTCCTTTTGAAACTACATCCTCTTAATAATAAATAATTTTTGATCTACATAACAGTAGTGCATTTCTTGTTAGAATGGCAAGCGTTTGTATTTTTTTTTACCAAAATGAAAAGAAAACATTCATTTCTTTATAAATATTTTAAATAGTTTAAATACATATTTCATACCAAGGATATAAAAATAGCCTCTTTTTTTTTGATAAATAAAGACATTTTCATTTACATGGCAAATAACGTGCGAATAGCTAACCACTGGCCACCAGCTCTATTTGACTGATTGTCTAGGAGATGACATGCAGTGATAATTGTCCCTTTGCCTTCACAAAAAGAAAAATAGATCAGCAGGAGCTGTGCACTCCTGAGGCCAACAGTGCTATGGATATTGTTCAGGAATGACAAGCAGGCACTCAGGAAAAACCTTGGCTGCCCTTCACAAAAGCCATCTAGGACAAAACTAATCCACAAGTTCTTTGTCTGGGACTTCTAGCTGCTCAGACCCCGAGGGTCTTTGGACTTTTACCAAAGTCTGTCAAACAGACCAGTAAGTTAATACCTGTACAGACTAGGACAAAACTAATCCACAAGTTCTTTGTCTGGGACTTCTAGCTGCTCAGACCCCGAGGGGCTTTGGACTTTTACCAAAGTCTGTCAAACAGACCAGTAAGTTAATACCTGTACAGAAAAAAATGTTTCTATTATGCTTCTAGGATCTAGAAACTGTTTGCTACAGTATGGAGGTGGTTCTGCCTTTCCCTGGCTCCTCACGCTCTCTTCTGCAGGATTCCCAGCTATGCCCAGTCTTCATGCCCGCCAGAGGCAAAAAAGGCAAACTAAAGCTGTCATGCAGTGGTGGGTTGAAATCGGCAGCTGCACCATGTGCACTGATATCATACATTTATGGCTTTGTTATCTTTCACTTCTGCTGTGCTTGTGACAATTTCCAATGGAAAGTTCTCCAAGGGCTTGGTAGAGACTGATGCCATTCCTTCTCGGTCCCAAGATCCTGGCAAGTTTTCCAGACTGAAGGAACTAACAGCTCCCTGTCCGAAGCTGCCCTCCTCTGATCTGCTTGGGAGAACCAGGTGCAAAGATGCTTCTGAGGAGGAGCAGACAGAGGATGAGAGAGTCGCTGAAATAGACTGCAGAGGCGTCAATGTAGTATCTGAATGTGGAGAGATGCACCTTAAAAATTGCAAATGACCTTCTTGGACAACCTGGTAGTGGGAAGGTGAATAATCAAGGTTTGGAGAATTATAAAGTGCACTGTCTGCAGGATTTTGCTCATGAGCTCCAGTTTGTTGGGGGCTGCTCCCCACAGAGGAGGGATCCACACTCCAAATGTCTGAGGTGACATTGCCATGACAAAGTTGTGCTTGAGTATAAGCAGCCCCACCTGTTTGCAAGTGTAGGCAAGGTTGGTGCGCACTCCAGCTCATCCTGGTCTGTAAGCTCTCCCTGGAGGGACACACAGAGGTGGTGTACAGAGAGCAAAATCGTGGTGGCTGTTGAGATGACAGAACATTTTCCAGAAGCTGCATCACATTCCTCATGTCTTTACCTAACTGGGAGACCTCCTGAGTCAAGGTTGTTACCTGTGTAGGTAAAGCAAAGCAAGAGGCAATAGTTAGAGTTACATGAAAGTGACCAAATTTCAGAGCAGTGAAGTAGGGAACTTAGATTTCTTAATCAGAAGGCCTGAAATGCTACTCCAATTCCAAATCCAACCAAGCCCAAGTGGTGAATCAGTGGGTTGGGTATCTAGATGGACATACATCCTGATCTAAAGCCATAAGTAGTCTGGGGCTCTTAATCAGTGATCCTGGGATTCTTGTAGAATTAGGGATATAGATCCATCACTTCTTAAATGCTGATGTTATCTTTTTCTTTCTCTGAGAGAATGAGATACACAATGGTGCACAAAAATCATCAGACACTTCAAAACAATGTGGAGAGGCAGATCTTGTGTGTGAAGCACTCAGCACACTGAGCATGAATACCTGTTCAGAGTAGACACCTAGTGATGGTGTCTCTTGCAATTTCTAGTTGAGGTCTATGCTTATCATAGGTCCAGAGACAGAGCAGCCTTCCATGATGGCGAGAGTGATCAGAACTCACATCAGATCCTTTACAGAGAGAGTTCAGGGAAAATGAGAGTTGGAAAGAAATAAAAAGAACTGAGAGGTTGCTACATGCAGATATACCCTGTGGGGTACCTGGGAGTCCTGGAATCCATAAATAAACCTGAAACTCCATGGAATTATAACTTAAATTGTGTGGTATATGCTTTTTTCAGTTTTCTAGGTGAAACATTTAGCTTTCATCAGATTCTCAAAGGAGACATGGCCCCCAAACACTTAAGAACCACTGGAGTCTTTATTTTACGTTAAAATGAATAATAAAATTCACTGAGGATTTATTTTCCTAACCACCACATCAGTTTTTTTATAATGGAAGACTACCAGAAGACCTGCCTTAAATCTAACTTTTCTGAAGTATTTGTTTTTCTTAAAGTGAGGACAACTCAGTATTTCAGAAAGCAGGACACACATATATTTTGTAGTCTTTGGTTAGATTCCGAACACTAACACAATGTTGTAATATTTTGTCTTCATTGCTGTAACACTTCATATCATATAAAAGACTTCCTTATGACTTGATTTTACTATCATGAACTGCAAAACTCCAATAGAAGCAGCTGAAGCCATTGGCTAAAACACCATTGGGAAGGAAAAAAAAAAGAGAAGTTCAATTTCAGTGATGCCAAAACCAAGATTGCTGTTTTGGGCAGACTTTCTTCAACATTTAAGCACACATTTCTAATTCATCCAGAAACTTAATTCAGTCTTCTTCTTGTGAGTGCATTCTGAGACTAATTCTCCCTGGCAGCCCCATTGGGAGGTAGCACTGCTCAAAAGCAGGCATCTAAAAAAGGCCAGAAGGAGGTTTTTTTCCATGGTTCAGGCAACCAACTGGTAACACCTGCCCTGGAATTGCCAGTCCAAAACTATTTCTGCTCTGCTGCTGGCATGGAACTTGAGGGACTCAACTAAACATTCATCCAGGCTTTTTAGCAGATCTAAAGCTTCTGGTGACAAGAAGATACCTCTCGCCCTCACATTGAAGAAGTGAAACAGTGAATCTGAGAAAGATTCAATGTGCTCCAAAATTTTTACTACAGGTTGTCAATTTTATCATGTGCCAAGCCTCAATTCTAGTCTGTGGATCACACTTAAAGGATCTCTGCACTACAGACATTCACAAGGGTTCCATCTGGAACTGATTAGCTGTTCTACTAAAATTTCAGGGAAGAAGGCTTCCATGAAATGAGATGGTTAAAGAGACATATTAACCATCCATTACTACAGGTTGTCTAAGCTTAATTTCTTTATCAAACTCAACAGGGCTACATTAGGTTAGCGCCCAATATAAGTGCTTTCAATAAGTCTTTTATTGAGAATTGAATAAAGATACAGTATTTGAAGAACAATTTTGAATTTTAGGCACATCAGCACTTATGTTATTCAATAAAAACTGAATACATTTATAATATAACATGCTTTCAGATACATTTTCACCATTAGATCTACAAACAGCACTGAGATAGACAGGGATATATTTTTCCTAAAATGGGGACACGAAGACCCAGAGGTGAAATGGAACTTTTAAGGTCACTTATTTCATGAATCACGCAGTCTTAGGTCTAGAATTCAGGGCTTCTAACTTTGGTACTTTTTCTGCTATTCTATATTATCACATGGAGAAGGAGAAATTGCTTCTCAGAGAGTTGAAAAATTATTGGTAATGTACTCAGAATTTGTAAAGAGCGCCATGAACCAAAAAGCTAGTCTCATGAGTAAAAGCTGTCTGAAATGTTATTCAACATCAAGTAATAGTGTCCCCTCTAAAAAACTAGGAGACTGTTTTGGTAATGGGCCACAATAATCAACCACATTGTATATCAACAAAATAAAATTAAAAATAAATAAATAAATAAATAAAAATAAAAAATAAAAAAACTAGGAGACTGATTAAACACAGTAAAATCTCTTCATGGCAAATTACATAAATGCAAAAAAAAAAAAAAAATGACTTGCCACAGGGTAAAAAGGGTAAAAAGAGGAACTAGACCACATGTTAACAGACATATTTCTGATGAACTATTTTTCTAGCTCTCAAAATAAACAGATATTTTCCCATGGTTGAAATCTCTTTCCACGGCCACATTCCTGACATCTAACTTTTGCTGTGCATTTGCCACAACTGAGGCCATGAACTTTGAATGGTAATCCAGAGTCTTGACTGGCTCCAGGAATGTAAGCAAGCATTGACATTTTCAGAAAACAAATTCCTATCCTCGCTTGAACTAAAAGGAGTGAAGTACTCAAGGAAATAGAACTTTCTTTAGCTCTGAAGGGTAATGATTGATTTATATTAGGGAAGATTTCTGTCAGTGTGTCTCTGAAGGCACACCCCTGCACCTTATTAAAGTTACGTGAGGGAATTAATCCCTATTAGGTAAGGGATCTCTTCCTTTTCAAGGACAGTTGTCACAAGGAGAGATAGCATCTCCTGGAGATGGAGACTGTGATGACACTGAAGGTGATAACATACTGCCACAGAAAATGTAGTAAAGTTTTACTGCACTTTCTTTTGCTACTTCCTTCTGAGCTGGCTAACAAAATTCATTCGAAAACAGGGAAGACCTTAGTCTCAATCGTATTTGGAAAGCAAAGAAGGCAGCGTCTCTACTTTCTGAGGGTGATGAGGTTCCAGGGCCTCCCCACGGCCTGGTGAGAAGACATGCATTTGTCATTGCTACTTTGCAAACAAGGCTCTGTCCATTTAAGGAAATATGTCCTCAAAATGCAACTTACAACCAGACCACTGCAAAGAGATAGGTTAATAAAAACAAGTAAACAAAATCATTCTTATTAAAAAGTTTTCCCTCTGGCTTCAACAGCCTAAAATCTTTAACTGTTTCTATTACTCATGTTAGAAAACACTGTCTCTTTCTGAGGAGGTATTACAAAGCCCTTCACAAGCCCTGCCTCATTTTCTAGTGGCCCAGTGACTGCCCTGCGGTCACCCCTTGCAGGCTATCACTGCCCTGAGGCATGTGGTTCCCTCTGAACCGGGGCTCTTCTCCTCTGCCTTTTTCTGCCTGGTAAGTTTCTTCTCTCCCTTCGAACTTCTAGTACTTGACTTTCTCTGCAGAGCTTTTTCTTGACCTCTCGTTGGTACTCACACAGCAGTTTAGCCCTGATCACCTTGCATTATACAACTCTATCTGTCCCCAACTAGGCCATGAGTTCCTTGAGAGTAGACACTATTATTTATCTCAGCATTTCCTGGACTCAGGGTAATGCCTAGAACACAACATGCACTCGGTAAATCTGGAATGTAAAAATGAATGCAATGCCTGCCATTTTGAAAGACGTTTTAGTTCTCATATCAGTTCAATTTTGTTCTCATATAGTTCAATTTTGATCTCATTATATCTCCTGAGTTTACCATAAATATCCTGAGGAAATCTGCCTCCTGCGAATTGGAAAATTTGTAACTAGTCTTCTTCATTCCAAATACATATATTAAAGGTAGGTGTTATATGACTGTTAAACTTTTTATGTATAAATTTCCTAAACCATAACCATAACTATCCCCTAGTCTTTAAAAGCAGGCTGGATTTTCGCTGTTGAAAATCTCTTTCCTCTTGTTGTGCTCCCTTCATAATTGTAGAAATGGGTCTCCACTGGCCAAGACTTCTGCTAGACTTCACTTATCTTACTGCTTTGCCATTTATCCCAGCACACACTTGGTTTCCATGGGTAATTTTAATTCTCTGGGAAATTTCCCCCATTTACTGATCCCCAGATCTCATAACTACACTATGAATGCCAAGTGACAAATTCAGTTAAGTTATTCAGCGTTGTTTACCAACCAAAATTTGGCCAACTTTTTGCATCCCTGCTATTTTAGATGTGGCCTTCTGATTCTTCCTACTTATAAAGACAGTGGATAAAGAAAATGTGACTTGATACACATTTCTCTCTTACTTGTTACATTTTCTTTATCCATTTTCTCCTCCTCTTTTTTTTTCCTTCTTCCTCTTCTTCATCCTTCTTATTCTTCTGTGGATAAGAATCCATGTGTCTGGAATTTAAAACTGTTGGCCAAACCAGTTCACCATCACCATCTGCATAGCTGATTGTTCATACCCAAGATTTCTCTACCCCTCCTAAAGTCCCAACTGTTAGAACGAAGAAGTGATGAAAACACCATCTGTGCTTCCAAGTGGCTCAGTTTTCTATCCAAAACTTTGGGGCACCTAAAGATTCTTTCCTTCTCTGTTCTCCCAGCATCATGCATTAACCACACAAATCATCAGGTGTTTAGCAGGTTTGCAGGAAATGCATTTCTCTTGCTGAGCAACACCTCCTGTCATGAATAGAAGCGCCCATGTGACTACACACTTGCCAATTGCCTTGAAAATCCACACACTGATATTTCCATACCCCTAAGAAGGGAAAAAGGGAATCAACTACCACAACTTTTCTACTTTTCCACATCCACGTTTCCTCAAAACTTCTGCTGG